TGTAATACATTAAGGTTCATATTAGTATAATTTATGCATATCCCATAATGCTGTACGGGAATAAAAGGATTGTGTTATAACTCGACCACGTTGTTTGTGTTGCTTGTTTTCCTACACTAAAACGAATCTCAGTATACTACATTTAGCGACGAGGATCGGATATATTCTACATGCTCAAAGTTGCGTGAGATACCCTCGCAGCACTGGGAAAAGTTTGGAAGTAAGAAATTTATTAAATCTGATAACTGAACATCGAAATGGCAACAGCCGAAGGACTGTTCGGCCATGTTGGCGAGTTTAATTCCGAACGAGAGAAATTCAAATCCTATGTGGAAAGAATGGAAATGTTTTTTACGGCAAACAATGTTGTAGAGACACCAGGTGAAGCAAATGTAGTGGCTAATCAAATTGTCAGTGACAGGAAACGTGCCATTTTTCTAACTGAGATTGGACCGGATGTATATTCCACATTAAGTAATTTATTGGTGCCAGCGAAGCCAAAAGACACGTCTTTGACTAACATAGTTCAAGCACTAGAGAAGCATTTTAACCCAGCACCGTTGGAGATTGCTGAAAGTTTTCATTTTGGGACACGTATAGTCAAAAACCTGGTGAGTCAATTGGTGAATATGTAGTGGCATTAAAAAAAAACATTCCATTCATTGTATTTTTGGAATTTTTAAATCGAGCATTACGAGATCGGTTTGTATGTGGGCTAAACAACGTCAAGATACAGAACAAACTGTTGAACACCGAAAATATCACGTTTGACAAAGCCTGTCAGATTGCGAAGTGTATGGAGATGGCTAAAAGGAACACGCAAGAGTGTCATCCAACTATTAGTGCCAGTGGTTTTAGTGAAGGGACGGTGAACAAAATAGAAAGCAAGAGAAATGATGAGCAAGCGTGCTACAGGTGTGGCGGAAATCATACTGCAAAAACTTGTAGATTTAAAACAGCAAAATGCTTTAAATGTACAAAAATAGGTCGTATAGCGTCAGTGTGTCGTAGAAAAACCAGTAAAGAGGTTAAACAACTTGAAGCAGATCTGTTACCGTCATCAAGGTGGTAACAGCTTGTTCCAAACTTGTCATAACAACTGGGAACAAGCAGTGTGAACAAATCCTGATATCGGGCTTTATCGGCTTGACAACAATCTCGTTACAACTTGTTTCCAGATCTGTAACTTACTAAACAACTTGCGCTTTTTATTACGTGTGTACTTTTCGCGCATGTTTACAGCAGCAAGCCTTTTCTCGCAGGCCTTAAAATATCGGTCGGTCACGGACATTGTCCGATCCATTCGTGAAATTGTCCGACGTAGAGAGGAAACCAGCGGACATTCTGTCCGACCAAAGTGAAATTGAGGTTTATTGTTTGTCCGACCCGAGTGTATTGGTGTCCGACCGAACTGTAGCTTTGTCCGACGTAAATCAAAATGTACCCTAGACCAGGACTAGAGGCTTGTATGTTAAATGGAAAATCAGAGTACTATTGCATAAAAGGTGAACTGGAAATGTTGTTTTAATGTAGTCGAGCGCGGGGCGGCGAGTGAAATGGTGAAGTGGAAAACGGGCTTAAGTTGTCGAAGTCATTTTTAATACTGCTGTTCTGGCAAGCAAGTTAATTTTGGCTTGGAAATAAGTATGAAAGAAACAAATTATTTAATATCTTTACAACATTTACCGTTTATTCATCTGTGTCATTCAGACTTATTTCCGAGTCAAAACTGAACTGAAGGTCATCGGACATATGTCCGACCCAAACTCAACGTCACCGGACATTTTGTCAGACGGCCCTGGAAAAGATATTTTAAGGCCTGTAATTTCTCGTGTATTATGCATACACGCTGTTCATTGTTTTTCTCTATTAAGAATAGCAGGTTAGTCAATTACTTGATATATTGTATTATAAAATAGCCTTTTAAAAACACAGTCGCTGATTGGTCAAAAGCTCAAAAAACCCGTGTTTCTATAACTCGATAGAAACACGGGGAATTTTCACGCGGGTTGCGTGGATTGCGCGGGAGTTTAAAAGACAAAATACAAACAATATTTAATTTTGAAAAAAAGTTGAAAAACGTCCCGAGACGCCGAAGAACCGTTACAAAAAAAGGCAACACTTTGCTAACTTAGAAAGCCAAGACCTAAAGCACAAAGTATAATTATAGCACACGTTGTATCTGTTTGACTGTTTACGGAGGTAAGATATTTTAATTTTACTTTGTCTTTTTAAAAAAATATTTCCTCGCGACGTTTTTAATCATGTTTACTATAGTTTTTAATCATGTTTAAACGTTCACTAACTATTTAAAACAGTGCTTTCTTTGCATGCAAGCATGTACGTTGTTGAGTGAATTATATACTTAGTAAAGTAAGCCTGTTAAGTGCTGTCTGTTGTTTTGACAGCGATGTACTTGTTTACTTCGCTATGCTTTTATAATTATTCTTTACACGAACGTATATTAAGGTGGAATTAATATTTGAATGAAAGCAATTAAAATCAATAAATTTATCTTTTCTATTGTTTTTAAAAGGCTATTTAATAAAGGAAATAGAAAACATTTTTTCCGTGTTCCTATAGAGTTTATAGAAACACTTGTGAAAGTTTGGGAGAAACTCGAAATTGCGTGGAAACACTCGCACTTCGTGCTCGTGTTCCCACGCAATTTCTCGTTTCTCCCAAACTTTCACGCGTGTTTCTATAACTCTATAGAAACACGGAAAATGTTTTCTACGGTATTTCTTAAATATATATATATATATATATATATATATATATATATATATATATATATATATATATATATATATATATATATATATATATATATATATATATATATATATATATATATATATATGTATATATATATATATATATATATTAATATATGCACCCTGTCAATATTTTACGCATCCGTGGGATCAGCATAGTGCTCAGGCATTCAAATTATAACAAGACGCTCTGTGGAGCGTTAACTCGCTGGGGCTACACAACTGACGCACATTAGTGTTAAGGTTCGGTCACACGGAGCGACAAGTCGCAGGGGCATGTTGCAGGGACATGTCGCGGGGTCGAATTTCATCGTGTGTCACATGTGTAAGCGTTGTCGCGGGGACAAAAAATTGTCCCCGCGACATGTCGCATGAAATCAAATTGATTTGATTTCATGCGACGTGTCGCGGGGAAAAAAACCGTTGCCGCGACTTGTTGCAACGTGTGAGCTAGTCTGTTCACAAGTCGCGGGGAAATAATTAGTCCGACCAATCACAAAATATCATTCCCATGACTACTTGCACGCTCAATTTCAATATAAGACCTCATGGGAGTTCTTTGACTTGTCGCATGAATTGTCGCCTCGTGTGACCACGCGCCTGTAAGCGCTTGTGCGACTTGTTTTCGCCTAGCATTGTCGCTTCGTGTGACTCGTTTCGGGCGACATGTCCCTGCAACATGCCCCTGCGACTTGTCGCTCCGTGTGACCGAACCTT